AATAACGTTAGCGCGCTCGACTAAAGCGTTTGGGAAATGAAACTGAAAGTGGAGAATAACAACGCTCTGAAAAAACAGCACTGAACATATCACAACATTATAAACTTAAAGTTTATAGCGCTTCAGTTTTGTTTGACATTTTTAAATCACCAGAATGTAGGAAGTGTTCACTGCATTTGAGTGTAAAAGACAACAAATTTAAAGACTGCCCTGTGAACAGGAGTTTCAAGAGGTTAGTAAATGTGACTCGCCCCACTGACACTGAACAACTGAGATACTTACATATTGTAGCTTCTCTTTCATAATGCTTCACCTGCTGGCCTGCTGGGCGTTTGAATCTAGCTCTGCCAGGCTGCTCTCCCCAGTTGACCATCACGCCACAGAGAGTAGGGACTACATTTACAGTCATGGTGGTCCAAAGGGAATGATAGACACGCTTTATAAAAAGGCTAGTTTTCTAAAGGATTAATCGGCGGTGTAAAATTAATTTTCTTTTCAAGATTCAAGATTCCTTCATTGTCACTACACATGGTATAGTGAAATTAAAATTATCATTAATGGGTATTAATTAATGGTTATTAATGGTTATTAATTAGTCAGAAATGTGTTAAAAATAATGAGTAAGCAGTTTTTACAAAAATGAAAAGCGCAACAGTGACCTGTTGTATCTGTAGCTGACCAGTATAATGCTGACTGACGGACAAAACAAAGCAATTTAACTAACAAGTAAGATCTAAGGTTTAACAGAAGAACTGAATGTGGGCTCACTATTTGGCAAGCAATGGGTCACTGATGCCCTTTTCCTTTAAGCCGCAGGAACAACAGTTACATAGAGAGAAATAAGGAATGAACTGCCCCGCAATAATCTCTGTTTCTCTGTACCCCAAGTGAAAGAAGCAGAGTGAGTTCACTCCCCTGGGTTAGCTCACATATGTGGTGTGTTAGCTAAGCTAGTTAGTAGAAGATGGTTATCACTATTCTTTATTTCACTATGAACTTCACTGGGATTTTGTGCTCACATCGTAGCACTCTCTCAGTTTCTTTTTTTCATGACAGTTTTGTTTCAAAATGACATTTCAGTTCCTCTTCTTTTTTCCAGCGTTAGTTTGTTTTGGGAACACTCACAACTTCATAACAAGCATTTTTTCTGTTTCTGGGTTTTGTGTCTCTGTGCTGTCTATGGTAGATGATCTGTGTGATGTTTGTTCTCCTCCTGGACATCAAAGTGCCTCCAGGGTAACGCTTTATGGTTGCTGTAACGTAAGACAAGGACTTGCTTACACCAAACTATCCTACCAGACAAGGCAGCTCAGTCTCTGGTAGTGGAATCACTGTGGATCTGCAAGAAAGGTGACTCTGGGGAAATGAAAGTGTCCAAAGCAGACTTGTTTAGAATATGCATGAAGGACCCTTATGAACGTCTTTGCTAACCTAATCAGTGACGTTGTGCTTAGTTAAGCTTGTGAACCAAACCAAGTATCCATTATCATAGCTTTATGTTTTAGCCTGATTACTGATTAAATGATTGATTGAAAAAATCAATCAATCAATCAACTTTTATTTAATCTCGGAGAACATTGAGGGTGATCCTCATTTACAATGTTGCCGAGTAGATACAGAGCAAGGGACTGATGATGTGTAAAAACATATAAAAAAATAAAAGATTCAAGAGATTCAAAAGAGTTTTATTGTCATAGGCACAGCAGAAACAGGCAGTTACACTGTACAATGAAAATCTTACTTTGCTGTTCCTCCATTCACCAAATATAATCTTAATATAGTCTTAGAATAAAAAATAGAAAAAATAGAAAAATATAAAATATAAGAATAGCACTAAAAACAAAAGTAAAGTACAGTTATGTGTGCAAAGTTGAAGAAAATTAAAGTTACATGTGCGTAGTGCAAATATGTAGAGCAGCGGTTCATAAAGTGCATTAACAGATGTAAACAGTAGTATTCTGACATCAGCAGTACAGTGTATGTAAGGTGCAGTTATTGAGTGCAAAGTCAGCCAAAAGTTAAACCAGTTCAGAGTGGGAGGGGGGAAGAGGTAGTGTGTGAGGTGTTCACAAGCCTGATGGCCTGTGAATAGAAACTGTTCGTCAGTCTTGTAGTCCTGGACTTCACACTCCTGTAGTGTCTGCCTGAAGGTAGGAGTGTGAAGAGTCTGTGCTGAGGGTGTGTACGGTCCCTGATCATGTTGTGGGCCCTCCTGATGACCCTGGTGTGGTAAATGTCCTGTATTGAGGTTAAGGCTGCTCCTGAGATGGACTGTGCAGTTTTGATCACACGCTGGAGAGCCTTTCTGTCCTGAGCAGTGCAGTTTCCATACCGGACCGTGATGGAGCTGGTAAGAACACTCTCGATCGTACTCCTGTAGAAGGTGCTGAGAATTTTGGCTGGCATGCCAAATTTCCTCAGCCTTCTCAGAAAGTACATTCGCTGCTGGGACTTCCTGATGAAAGTAAATTTAATAAATAAAAAAGAATCAGGTAAAAAAAGTTAAATATCAATAATACAAATACATAAAAAATACAATAAAAAATGCATAAAAATACAATAAAAAATTAAAACCATAGTAAAACATGCTAAAATGTAAAGATTAATAAAAATCAAAGCAAATCAAAATAAGATCAAAAAGTAAACAAAAACTATTGAAAAGACTAAAATAATAATAATAATATGAATAATAAATAAACTAACAAATAAATTGTAGTGAACACCACCATCTGGTTGAGCCAAAATCACCTTGTTTAGAAGAACTCTCCACATGACCCAAACTAAAAGCTTTGGCTCCACAAAGTCAAAGAGGTAAAAGCCATAAAACAGGATTAAGTTGCTGACAAGTTTTACAGCTTAAAAGGACGTTACCTTGGGAATCTGGACACTGTGGGAGGTTAGCAACCCCCCTTTGCTCCGTATGGCGTACCAGGCAGCTGTAAATCCTTGCCTGGAATCCAGCTACAGGCCTCACCAAACTTTCAACTAAACTTGTGAATTACAAGAAGTTAAGTTTCTAAAGTGCGCACCAATACAGAATTGCCACCATTCAACAGGGTGCATTTCAACTAGTCTGGAGACACCAAGAACGAGGTTGTTATGAGAATCTATAACAAAGTTAGCCTTTTTTAGATTTTATTGACAATTTAAAAATGGAGCCACAACACCCCCAAGTGGTGAGAATGAGGCACAACACACCACCACCATAAGGACATGTGCTTATAAAGAACCCAAGAAAACTTGTTGCGTTGTCTGCTTGATTATCAACATTTATATAATCTGTAAGCAATACTACTTATTTTATTAATCTTATTGTTATGTGTATTACCTAAATATTACCTGTATCTTTTTCTACTATTAGGTGCTAGAAATATGTATTGTATAACTTTGATAACAGAGACAACCATTTCATGGTAATGAGTTTAGGCCATTGACAAATATGTATCCTGAATGTGGTTCTCTTTTCTTTTCTTCCTTTTGTTCCTTTTCTTTCCTTGTCTTCATGCATTGGGTCATATCCAGATATTACAGGCAAACATTACCTGTGTTCTTTAACATGTGTTGTGTATAAGGTAACAAGGGTTAAACTCTCTCTTATACACATACTGAATATACTAGTTGTTCATTGCTTGATTTTGAAAGTTAAACCAATTTGATGATATAAGAATGTTTCTTTTTCTTTGTTTAAAACTAACTGAAACAAAGACGGCAGTGATTCTGGGGAAGGCATTCCTAAAATTATGCACAACCAATCAGAGTTGGAAACAATGAATGGCTAGTTAACCGTTAGGTGAGGAGAACCTAACAGCACTCTGGCTCCACCTCCAAAGGGTAGGGCCTACAGCTGAGGAAAACCGGAGCGCACCGCAAATTTCAGGAGTCCTGCGTTCTCAACAAGATAGCTAAATTTCTAAGTTTGTTCTGGCCTTGGTCAGGGAGACAGGTCAGAAGTATTAGAACATTAAATTTTCAGATCTGAAACCTTTGTTTGTTTTGTAACTTGTCTGTCCGTCTACACAACTTAAGTTTAAACCACCCTCAGAGAAGGAAGGTGGATATTTCTTGTCTGGCCAGGGAGAATATATCCACAACATTCGAATCTGCTAAAGAGAGGTAGTCAGTCAAATTAGTATTACCAGCCTCAGAACCCTGATTGCAATTTAAACCTCATCAGTGGAGTGGGAGCAGTTCTGACACCATGGAGACCCGGCATCGCACCCAGAGCCACGCAATAATCGGTGAACAGATTGACCATCAAAAGGCTGATACTGTTATCCTCTATTTACCCTGAAAGGTGTTTCAGTTTCACTTTAAGTTCAGTTTGTTTCGTCTATTCAGCTGTAAATAAATCAGATCTGAGTTTATCAACACTTTATTTATTAATGATCATAATTATGAGAGTTTAATCAGCTCTTTATTGATCTTCCACTGATTCTGTACATCATCTCCATCTGAATCACCTCCAAACCAGAGAAATACAGACTGAACTACTTTATAAATGAGGCATAATACAGCACAGCCAATCAGAACAGAGCTCATTTACATATATCAGTCTTAAAGGTACAGTAACAAATGCAGACTGTTTATTTACAAAGAACAAAGAGAAGATCATGTATATGTAAATGATCATGTAAAAGTACATGTCGATACAGAAAAGAGTAATAAGGAGAGAAAGAGAGACAGAGAGATAAAGAGACAGACAGAGAGATAGAGGAAGATATAGAGACACAGAGAGAAAGAGAGAGAAAGAGAGAGAGATTACCGTTTTCTATTTTTGAAATTTTGTTAAAAAAACACAAGAGAAAAGAGGGTGTGTATGTGTATGTGTTGTGTGTTTTCTGTTTGTGTGTTGTGTTTTCTGTGTGTGTGTGTGTTGTGTGTTTTCTGTGTGTGTGTATGTGTTGTGTGTTTTCTGTGTGTGTGTTGTGTTTTCTGTGTGTTGTGTGTTTTCTGTGTGTGTGTGTGTATGTGTGCATATGTGTATGTTTTCTGTATGTGTGTGTGTGTGTGTGTGTGTGTGTTTTGTGATTTTGAAGATTTTCAAGATTATTTATTTTAAACACACTGAGGAGCCCAAACCCCAAACTGTAAACCCAGCGCAGAGTGGTTCAGTGAATGTGGTGCTGAATGTGTGTAGGTGTGTCAGTGTGTGTGAGGAGATGCTGTAGAAGGACAGAGTGCCGGCCGGACAGTCCACATACACTCCTACTGTCTCAGAGCTGGAGGGACGAGCAGAGAGTTCAGTGCTGTTATTATTGTGATAGACAGAGTAACTGTCATCAGAGCAGCTCAGAATCCAGGACTTTACATTCCATCCAAACCGACAGTCAGCACTGTCTCCTTTCCTGCTGATTGAGTTATATGTTACTGCTATATCAACCATCCCGCTCCACTCAGCCTCCCAGTAACAGCGTCCAGTCAGACTCTCTCTACACAGAACCTGCACACAGCCATCAAATCTCTCTGGATGATCAGGATACGACTGTGAATCTTTCACAAATTCCACCTTTCTGTTCCCGTCAGACAGAGAGAGATAACTGTTCGCTGTGTTTGGATCCAGAGTGAACTCACAGGAATCTGCACACAAGAAGAGACATTAGAGTGTGAGTGTGTGTTTATGGGGTTTAAATGCCTGAATATGCGCTAGTTTAGTTGTTCTATGTCGTTTATGGGGTTCAAACGCCTGAATATGTGCTAGTTTAGTTGTTCTATGTCGTTTATGGGGTTCAAACGCCTGAATATGTGCCAGTTTAATTTAATTAATTAATTTAATTTCATCAGCAGCACTGACTACATAAAAATAAATGAAAATCAATAATCAATAATAAATAAATATCTAAGCCGATCCATAGTGTACCAAGATGATCTATACCTTAATATCTAAATTTGTGTATTTGTAGTCATTTCCATTTTAATGATGCCTTTAAAACAGCCTAATTAAATGTGAATCATTTTAGAGCTAAACATACAATACAGTGTATATCAGCAAAAATTATCCATGTAGAAATTACATTGCATACAATGATATGTGCACAAAAGGTTTTATTTATTTATTTATTTATTTATTTTGTGGTGCCTGATGCATTTTTCCACAGCATACGTTCTCTGTAATGCCTCTGTTTTTTATCCCTGTTTTCTCCCCTAAAAACCACCTGTTAATGCACTGGAACTTCTAACTGGTTCTAACTGCACACCAGAGATCTGTGAGCTACACTGCAGCAGAAATAATCTAATCTAATTAAACCATAGATTAATCTAATTAAACCATTTGAACTATAATAATAGTATATTTCTGATTTCCCCTAATATATATTGCTGTAATAGACCAGTAACGTTGAATTAGTTGCTAAAAACAGGTAGTTAACACCAGGTAATTAAAATAGCTAGCCAGTGATTTTTATCATACAAAGTCTAACGTTTCTGGTTACTATCGTTTGTATTCAGTCAGTGGTATTAATATATTAAATGTAAATGTGTATTTCTGATTGGGCCAAAGTCAAAATATGAGCAATAAACACCTGTAGCGGTTAGCATAAATGCTAATACCCTTAGCGACAATACCAGCTAGTTTACATTATTGGACTCTTTACAAAATTATTAATTTACAAATAGTAGTTGGCTCAATAATATATCGCTGCAGTTTATATTCTGGTGCAGTCTGTGAACATGTAATAGTGCAAACATGAAGCTGAAGTTGGGTTCTTATTCACCAGCTTCTCGTGCAAATTTTCCGTTCCACCTTAAACGACACCACAGTTACGTTCTGACGCCTGTGCAAATGTGCATCATTTAAGGTGGATCAGAAAATCTGGACGAGAAGCCAAATTCAGCTGATTGTTCTTGCGTTCTTTATGTATTTCTCTGGTGTAAATGATTATCTATTGTTTGTCTCCGTGTTCAGGTATAAAGTGAATAAATACATTGCTGCTGTTGAGTCCAGTGCAGCTGGCTAATGGTAACGGCAGCAGACATTCAAGCAACACGGCAGGAAGGAGTTGATGCTATAAACATGATGGTGCAGAGGTTAATTTGTAGAAGGCTGTGTCTCTTAATCCTGCTCCCCAGAGCAGCTGATCCAGCTAATAAAAGACTCCATAATCAGTTAATGAGCTGGATCAGGGCTGTTCTCTTCAGGAGTACCTGAAACTGTACAGTGCTTCCCAGGTTGAGAATGTGTGTGAATGTCACACCAGGCGATATGGTTGTAGCCTAAGGAGACTTTAAAAGATGCTTAGATCTCAACAGAACGGTTTACCGGCCCTTAAAGCACAAACATCAACATTACTTTTGAAATGACTCTGCAGCTTCTTATTTACATTTAAATAAAAACACTATTGGATTTTTGGAAAAATAATGTCCCAGTTGTCTGTTATTCTGCCTAATGTTACCTTAATAAACACATGTTAAAGTGTGAAACACTAAAATTAATAATTTGACTGTTGCTGGCTAAGCATGTCAGTAACCAACAATATGTTCATTCAGTTTGATGATGCGGCGGAGAATCACCCGATAAGTGATGCCCTGCGTATCACAACATCCACAGACTAAACAGAGGAACTGGAGACAGAATTCTTCATTCTTCATAAAGGTTTATGTATCCAAATGGGGTTAAATAATGTTATGGCAGTGAACAGTGGCATGTTTTCCATATTCATCAAGACGCTATAGAGCTATTATATCAGGACTGTATGATTGGAGTTAGAATCTATATGATGTGTTAAACGACATGGAGGGGTCTTCACTGGCAGGAGCTCCAGCAAAAATATAATTTAAGCTGTTAGACAGCATCTTTGTTTCAGTTGAGTGACAAAAACAGACAAGCTGAGACTGTTAGTACTGATCATTCTGTTTTTTACACTCCTAAAGTGTTTTACTCTTCAGTAGTAACTTTGTGTGTTTTTACTTTAAAATGTTGTGAAACTAAAGGAACGGTTCACTGAAAAATCAAATTCATCCAATTTTCCCCTCACAAGCCTCATGAGCCAAGACCTGTTTAGTGTCTTAAGTTTGCTTCTTTATCTTTAGCACTACGAGGCTAATTGAACCTGTTAGCTACATTAGCTTTGTAGCTCCAATTCTAAAACTAAAAGTAAATTTCAGACACCAAACCTGTCTCAGCTCATAAGCTGTGTAAATGTTATTCTGCTGTATAAAGGAGCATCCAGACGCCTTTTTAACTCTCTCATTTGTGTAAGTGAGTGTGTGTGTGTGTGTGTGTGTGTGTGTGTGTGTTTGTGTGTGTGTGTGTGTGTGTGTGGGTGAGTGTGTTTGTGTGTGTGTGTGTGTGTGTGTGTGTGTGTGTGTGTGTTTGGGTTTGTGTGTGTGTGTTTGGGTTTGTTTGGGTTTGTGTGTGTGTTTGTGTGTGGGTGAGTGTGTTTGTGTGTGTGTGTGTGTGTGTGTGTGGGTGAGTGTGTGTGTTTGTGTGTGGGTGAGTGTGTGTGTGTGTTTGCGTGTGAGAGTGTGTTTGTGTTTGTGTGTGAGTGTGTGTGTGTGTGTGTGTGTGTCTTTGTGTGTGTGTGTGTTTGTGTGTGGTGAGTGTGTTTGTGTGTGTGTTTGTGTGTGGTGAGTGTGTTTGTGTGTGTGTGTGTGGGTGTGTGTGTCTGGGTGTGTGGTGAGTGTGTTTGTGTGTGTGTGTGTGGGTGTGTGTGTCTGGGTGTGTGTGTGTGTGTTTGTGTGTGGTGAGTGTGTTTGTGTGTGTGTGTGTGTGTCCACATTCATTGGCTCCAGTTCAGCTTGTAACCAAAAACCAAACTGGTTTAACTGATCAAAGTTTCACAAAAGAATATTTTCCAATTTGGTAAGTGGTGCTCTGTGGTCAGTAGTTCTATCAGTGGTGCTGTGTGGTCAGTAGTTCTATCAGTGGTGCTGTGTGGTCAGTAGTTCAGTCAGCAGTGCTGTGTGGTTAGTAGTTTGATACGCAGTGCTGTGTAGTCAGTAGTTCTATCAGTGGTGCTCTGTGGTCAGTAGTTTGATCAGCAGTCCTGTGTGGTCAGTAGTTAGAGAAGTGGTGCTGTGTGGCCAGTAGTTTGATCTGCAGTGCTGTGTGGTGAGTAGTTTGATCTGCAGTGCTGTGTGGTCAGTTGTTTGAACTGCAGTGCTGTGTGGTCAGTAGTTCTATCAGTGGTGCTCTGTGGTCAGTAGTTTGATCAGCAGTCCTGTGTGGTCAGTAGTTAGATAAGTGGTGCTGTGTGGTGAGTAGTTTGATCTGCAGTGCTGTGTGGTCAGTACTTTGAACTGCAGTGCTGTGTTTTCAGTAGTTCTATCAGTGGTGCTGTGGTCAGTAGTTAGATAAGTGGTGATGTGTGGTTTCCACTGCAGAGTCATGTATGTTTTTAATCCAGTGCCACAGTTGTCAATCATCAACCACCCGGTGTTTTTTTTAGCATTACACAACTTTACCAGCCTCTTGTTGCCCCGTCCCAATTTTTTGGAATGTGTTGTTGGCATCAAATTTAAAATCAAAATAAAAAAACAATAAAATTTCTCTAAATATAGGGTTTTGCACATAATTGCATTTTGTTTTTATTTACATTTTGCACAGCGTCTCAACTTTTTTGGAAATGGGGTTGTAGATAATTACAAACAGACCACTATCAGAATATCTCTGACATATGATGAGAGGCACTTTAACCAGCTTGTGGGCCCTGTCTGTCTATTTGCACACAGCATCCAAAACATGAAGCTAGTTTCTTATTGTCTAGTTCTTTTTCAGATGTTATGTGTGACACCATTTAAGGTGGACTGGAAACTCTGACTAAGAAGCTGAACAGGAAGCCGGTGTCCCCCTCACTCATACCTTTTGGCTCAATAACAGCGAGTTTGAGAAGAGTTTGTTAGCTGATACCAAACGTGATGAACTAAATTAATCAAACTTGATGTTTGAAAAACTTTTATTTTGTTAAAATAATAGAAGTACAGTAAGTTTGAATATAAAAATCTGAACATATCTGATCTTGAGATGAACTTGTATGTGCTCTAGCTGTGAAGCGTCCAATCTGTTGTGCAGCACAAAACAACTGAGGTCTGTGACAAGCTATAGCCTATTGTTTGATCCAGTGCCATAGGTAGACATACATTTTTGGGTAGGCCTGTGAAAAAGTGGGTTGGCCAACATAGTACATGCAATTTCCAAATGCGCTAATGTCCCATCAGCCTACAGCCTATTCCAGCCATGCAGTCGTCACCCTACCTATTCCAGCATTACTGCTTTATGGTAATTCAAAACAATAGCAATTCACCAGAATACAGGATTCATATAGACACAATCAACACTGCAGCACCCTTCACTATAAAGCCTATGTCTGCTCATCACAGCCATGTTTGCCCGGTGAAGACGACATTACTGAGATAAAATCAGACAGCTGAGACGTCCACAGATGAGAAAAAAACAAAACAGTAAACGTTAAAACCTAAACTTAATCACTGTAGGCTAAAGCGTACTGCCACAGCAGGAATGAATAATACTTATGATCCATTCATGTCTTACCTTAATGCACTAAAGCAACGTTAGATGCTTATTTTCACATTTTCACATTTTCACAAAGCCCATGTTAGCCTTTGTAGTAATATAACATTGT